GTGTGTGTGTGTGTGTGTGTGTGTGTGTGTGTGTGTGTGTGTGTGTGGTGGATGAGCATGGGTCCTGTATCTGTGTGGTCTTTGTCTGTCATTGTGTTGGTTAGCTAAGTGATAGTGTAAGTGTGACATTGACAGCCGCAGTCTGTCACACACATCCCTGCCTCGTTTGTCAGGTTCTACTGTGTTTCACTTGTTTGGAGGCAGCTGGGGATAAAATTGCAGAGGTGTAAAATAAGTAAGTACAAAAACTTTACTCAAATAAAAATGTTGGTTTTCTGTACTTTACTTTTTACTTCTATTCCTTGCATTTTAAAAAGGAGAAAGTTGTTACTCCTGTGTCATTTTGGTTTGTTTTTGTAAAAAAAAAAAAAAGAAAAGAAAAATTAATGAACTGTCCAGATATGTCATACCACCAGACAGTGAACCCAACTGTGGTTGGATGAGAAGTATAAATGTATATGATTCTGACACTGTTGCTTTGCATGATCCATCACACTTGTATGACACAACATCACACTGCAGCAGGACATGTCAGACATGTAGCTGAGTATGAAGGTGACTCTAGGAGAGATATACTGTATCTGTAGCTGAAACATGTAACCTGCATTATAGTTATTATGTTCTTTAGAAAAAATCTTATTGGGAGGTAATTTTTCAATAAATGACATTTTGGAAATCATAACCACTCACTACTGTATATGTTTACTTTAATACTTCAATACATTTTATATCATAAATTTACTTTTGATACTTATTTTATTTTTTTATTAACCTTTATTTAACAAGGCAAATCCCATCGAGATCACAGATCTCTTTTGCAAAAGCAGCCTGGGCCTGAAGGCAACCTATTGTTCGTGTTTTTGGGGTGTGGGGGAAATCTGAGTACCCGGAGAAAACTTTAGGTTACTGTCGTAACCCCGGTTCTCTGAGTAGCATGAGTGAGTGTCTCACATTGGGAACGCCTTCGGCGTGATCTCATCAGAAGCTCGTATTACATTACGCCAGCCAGGATTGGCTGGAAATCAGCCTGTCAGTGACAAGGATGGCCACGACCCTCCCCCTATATAAAGGGCTGTTCCAGCACTGACAGGTTATTCAAAAAGATTATCACCTCTTCCTCGCAACGTTAGAGCAAGGAGGGTGACTTGGTGAGACTCATGCTACTCAGAGAACCGGGGTTACGACAGTAACCTAAAGTTCTCTTTCATAGCATTCGCTTCGTGTCTCACATTGGGAACGAAAATACACCGACTCCCGTATTGCTCAGCAGACTTAACTACATGCCAGCTGATCAGAGCATCACTTCTTCTGTGCACTTGGTGCTACACTCAGAACTGAATGAGCCAGTGATGGTGCTRTGACATGAAGTTTATAAAACCGAGCAAACGTGTGAGGAGAAGCCCAGCTTGCTGCGGCACAAATTTCCTGAAGGGACACCCCTTTAAGCAGAGCCCATGAAGAGCTTAAGCCCCTGGTGGAATAGGCATGCAGGCCCTCAGGAGGCTGCAGCCCATTTGAACTAAATGCTAAGGCAATCGCACCAGTGATCCAGTGAGTAAACCGCTGTTTTGTTACCGGTTTCCCGCACTGATTTTTAGCCCAAGAGACAAACAGATGGTCACTTTTTCTGGCCTGTTTCGTCCTGTCCATGTAGATACGTAAAGCACGTACTGGGCAGAGTTTGTGTAGCCTCTCCTGCTCCTCAGAAGAGAACAGAGGAGGATTAAAAGCCACTAACTCAATAGGAGAGTAAGAACCCCACACCTTAGGCTCAAAAGCAGGGTTTGGGAGCAGGGTCACYTTAGAATTGTCCAAAGAGAATTTTGTGCCGGATGGGTGAACTGATAAAGCATGAATCTCACCCACACGCTTAGTAGAGACAAGTGCCAGCAAAAGTGCTGTTTTCAGCGGTACCAACTTTAATTCCACCTGATCCAGAGGCTCAAAGGGCGAAGTAGTGAGAGCCTCCAGTACCAGAGGAAGGTCCCATGTAGGGGTCATGGGTTTTGAGACTCCTCCTCCGACTCAAGGGATGCTTGGGCGTGTTTCAAGCCGAGGCACACCACACAGGTTGGGTGGGTGTCCCAGCTTGATATTTTATTGCCACACGGGCAGGCCCGTGGCTGTGGGCCCTCCACTGGTTTTGCTGAAGCCCCCGCGGCCTCCATGTTCCAGGGAGATGTTTGAAGCTACGTTAGCTGGTGACAGCTAGGCTAACCAGGTATGGCTAGGCTTGGGGGGGAGTGTTGCGACTTCCCGTTGGGGTAGCTCAAACAGTTAAAGTATTGCTACTTAATTTTTTTAAGTATTGTTACTTATATAAGTGTTGCTACTTTTTTGATGGTATTGCTACCGATAACCAGACACTCTGTGCGGTGCTGTGCTAACCCAGAGCAAAGCGCCCAGCGACCGCGCTTGCGCACAAGTCTATGGACAGTTTAGCTAGGCTCTGAGAAGAGGCAGTACCTGGAGAGAGCTGGTGGAACTTCTGCTCGTTGCGAGAAGAAATTTTTGAAATTACCTGTCAGTGCAGGAACAGCCCTATATATAAGGGGAGGGTCGTGGCCCTCCTTGTCACTGACAGGCTGATTTCCAGCCAGTCCTGGCTGGTGTAATGTAATATGAGCTTCTGATGAGATCACGCCGAAGGCGTTCCCAATGTGAGACACGAAACGAATGCTATGAAAGAGAACCTATGCAAGCACGAGGAGAACATGCAAACTCCACACAGATAAATCCCAGGTCCGAACCAGGGATTGAACCCAGGACCTTCTTGCTGTGAGGCRTCGGTGCTAACCACTGAGCCGACATACTCTGGAAGAAGTCCTTTGTCAGGTGGACATTGTATCCTGCACTTAAGCACAGTAAATATCAGATGCTTTACTCGAGTACTATTTTTAAAGGAGATTTTAACTTTTACCAATGTCGTTTTACAGAAAGATTCTTGTATTTTCACTCAAGTATCATTTTGAGGTACTTTATATAAGGCAATTGAAGAGCATCCAATTTATAAATGCTTCCACATAAACGTAATGCTTTGCCCACTTCAAAACATCAGAGCCTGTTCTAGGTATCTCAACAACAGTCTGTAGGACTGCCCTACAGGCCTGGCTTAGACATCAACACTCAGTCCTCTGGAGGAAGTTGACAGACTGTAGACAGGCACGGGAACTGATAAATGGCCTAAATCTTAGGTTTGGGAAAACTTTAAGTACACTGATTGGAGTTCTAACTGGGCACAACCTGCTCAACCACCACAAAATGGTGATGGGACTCCATGACGATGTGTGTGATGTCTGTGGCATTGAATTGGAGACCTCTTTGCACTACTTAGACCACTGCTTGGCTCTGAGCAGTTGAAGGAAATGAATTTTTGGAGACCCCTTTATGGATCCTGAGAGGCTCAGAACACTGTATTTCAAACCGTGTGTCTTTCATCCAAGGGACACGAAGGTTTGAATAAAGCTTTGTGTCTTTTATCCATCCCCACTCACTTTAAACCATAAACCCTAATGCTTTGTTTCGTCTTTAAATGGTAATATTGAATATATATTTTTAACATCATTAATAGAAAACTCTTGTCAGTTGTATTATTGTTTGTTTGTGAGTCGCTGATGTTTGGAGGGGATATAATGTGGTGGTGTTTCCACCCAACTTGTTGCTTGTTCATCTGCAATTCTTATAATTTTATGCAGATGCTTTTAAAAGATCAGCTAGTGATGACATGAGGAGCAGATTAAAGTCTGATTGTTACAGTTTTGGTGGGATATTTTTTTATTTTTTTATTTTTTTGTAACTGCTGTATTTAGATATCTGGTGACAAAGTTTGTTTTGATTCCAGCAACAATAAAGGAACCACAGTGACCATCCAGGGACTGGGAATGTATTTGACCGCTGTTGTTTTAGAGAAATCCTTTTCATGCGTGCAGAAAAACAAGCTCAGAAACAACTAAGGGTCTTGTCTTTCTAGACTGCGACCACAAGGCTTCTTGTATTTACACTGCTTCCCCGTCTACACCACTTCAAACCGCACAGACTTAGATTTTAGTCTCTGTTGTCACCCCCTGTCTCAGTCCATCGCTCATCCCCCTCCATCCACACACACACACACACACACACACACACACACACACACTACAAGCCACAGTTGTAAACATGCACAGAGAGCCCCTCCAGCCAACCCCAGACCTCTAGGATAGATTCTGTCTTGAATGTTCGCTGGTCATCGGCTCATCTTTCCTTCCTGTAATTACACATAGTTGTGGACTTTAATGAACGAGGTAGAGAGAAGCGCTGCGGTCAGCAGACACAGTCGAGTCTTCAGCAGATCTGTTGTGAGCTTTCTCTCCCCATCCTGGCCACCGCATTTGGAAACGGAGGGTTACAATCAGAAGCCTTTCCAGTTTCCCCCCTCAAGGACTGCTCTGGATGAAAAGCTTCCTGTCAACACCTTGTCCCTCTCCTCTGTCCTGCCCCACGTCTATAAACTGCAGCCCCTGTGTTCCCTTTAAAGCACAATGGGCTGTATTAACAAACTGCTGCTCAGGGTTATGGGGGATGCTTTGCTTTAGCCAAGTAGAACTGGATGCTGCCCAGAGAAATACTAGATGCTATTACGCTGTTTGGATTGAGTTCTTTTTTTAAGTCTTGTTGCAAAGCAGTAATTGACCAGCGACTGGAGCTAAGGTTATCCAATAGGATTATTTACTCCCATTTAGCTCTTTCTGTGATCTTTTAGAATTAGTGTGTGTGTAAGGCAAGACTGCGTGTCACAAAGAGAAGTGCCTAACAAAAGACAGATTCAACCCACTTCATGGCTTCAGGGTAGAAGCAGAGTTTAACCGAGGTCACTTTATTTTACTGAAAAGAGAACAATGGAAATAGTTAGCTGCTGTCAATGGATGTCTTGTTTTTTGTTATTTTTTTTGCAGTGAAATAAAAACACATATAGCTGAATTGTTCCTGGCAGGATGTAAGTAAACATGCCAGACTTGTAGAATAAAAAAACACAACCGTAATTGATCACGAGTGGCTTTATGGTTTTCATTATAAGCAATGAGTTATCACAGCTTTTACCAGAGAGAAGAAGATCAAGTGAAATCACCAGATCAAGTGCCTTCTTGATTGGGAAACGGAGATGGCACATGTTTAGACAAAAAGAACCCACTGTTCCACTCAGACCTTGTTTGAGGACGCTGTAATGATTCTGAGCTTGTGCTGTTTGCCCTCAGGGAGGATGAAGATGCTTCTCACTGCGCCGTTCCCATCTCCACCAGTCTAATCAAGCAAATCATGAATAAGACTGGAAATGAGGACAAACCAGAACAGATCCTGGCTGATTTCTACAGTCCGAAGACCACCAGTGAGCCACCTTGGCCTTATGTCTCCAGAGATGCTGACAGGTACGCTTTTTAAACTTTTGAACAGTTAAAAAAAACACATTGCAGCAATAATGAAAGTGGTGTTTTGATTATCTTGATGTGGAGTTATGTCTAAAATTGAACAATTATTGCCTTTACTTGTGCTAAGAATACCTAGCATGAACTGTTTTGTTTTAAGGGAACAGCTATCCGCTTTGGTCAAGCTGTTATTAGGTTAGCCATATAATTTGAGCAGACAMATTTTCAAAATCAGATTTGTTTATCTTCAAACTACTCTGATCTTCAAATACTTTGCAGCCTGCATTTATTTGAGTAGAAGTGTTGTTAAATTATCACTAGAAGTGTCTCAGGCTGCACAGGAAGTGGTAAATCTGTTGTCACGTTTTGCATTTGTAAATAACAACAAAATGTCATGTAAACAACCATGTATAACAACAGTGAGCGTCCCAGCCAATAAGCTTATCAGTTTTATCCAAGTCAAAGTCGATTTATTGTTAAATCTGCATAAGGTGCAGGACAAACACAGGATTGAAATTACRTTACTCTCTCAGACCTCTGATGAAATGAACATCAGAAACATTAAGCATCAAAATAAAGTTATATTGTTAAACTAATTAGAAATAGAAATGTAACGGGATAACGTGCGTGCATAAAAGTTTCTGGTATTGACATCAGATTTAAAGTGACATGTGCAGTGATGTGTATTTAGTGTATGTATGATATACAAGTCCCTAATTTTGACATACAAGTACAGTGAAATATGTAGTGGGTTGACATTAATGGTTATGACTAATGCAGATATAAACAGTGGAACCTGAATGAACACTGAAATGCAAGGTGGCTGTCGAACATAAACTTGTTTTCTCCATTCAGGACATTCAGAACATCATCTACAACTGGTCAAAAAATCTTAACTTCTGAAAAAAACCTCACTGCATTGGCTATAATAAACAAAACTATTTTAACTTAGTTAATACCTCAAAGTTTATGTTGTAAAGCTTCCCTAACCCACTTTCATTTACACACAGTGAACACAAAGCAAATCAGGGCAGAGAAGTAATGAAATGAAATGTATCTAAGTCAGACTCATTTATGTGATGARTGTTTAACACTAACACCTTATGATCCATCCAGAATGCTTCAATTTTTATAGAAATTTACTGCAACAGGCATTAAATCTCAACACAGCTTTCATCGAGATCAGGTTTCTTACAACATTTGTCTTCCTAAGTTGTCAAAGTATTTCTTCAGTTAGGAACTTGTCTTCATTGCTTTGCTGTTGGGCCACATTTTTAAATAGTTACCTGGTAACMAAATGCAGAGTTGAGAATCAGACATTATCAGACTGTCATACATGCAGAAAGAAAACCGTCGCTTTTACACACAAAGCAAAGCCTTTCGTTCAGTTTGTTTTCAGTCGAGTTCTAAAGACTGTGTGTGTACTTGTTTTTGCTACAGAGTGAGGACCGTCATATTTTGAACCAACAAAGTGAGGACATTTTTGAGTCATAAGGATATTCACTTTTTTGCAGCCTTACTGCWCTGTTCTAGTTAGATTTAGAGATATGGTGTAAATTAAGTTAGGGTTAGAAATAGGAATAGACTAGTAATGGTTGGAGTTAGGGAAAATGTCTGGGTTAGGCATCAATACAGTTAYAAAAATGAATGGAAGTCAATACAAAGTCCAAGGATGTGTATGTGTGTGTACATGTTTTTGTTACCTGGTGATATTTTTTGACCATTTTCACGGTACACAGCCTTGTGAGGACCGACTGTTCCTAATGGGGACAAAAGCTCAGTCCCCATTGTGGGAAATACCATTGGTGGTTCAGGTTAAGGTGTGAGTTGAGTTTAGGATCAGGTACTGGGGTTGTTAGGTTTAGGGTAAGAGGTCATGGTTAGGCTACCAATAAATGAATGGAAGTCGATGCAAAGTCCCCATGAGGATAGAAGAACAAACGTATGTGTGTGGAGTAGGGGTGAGTGTGCATGTACAACTTCACAGACCTCTGATGTGAAACTGTCTGCAGACGTCCCTCTGGATATCCCAAACCAATCACATATCGAAGGAAGCAGTAGAAAAGACGAACACACGTTTCCCCGCAGGCTCCAAGCAACAAAGAGTCCCAGTGGGTCCGCTGGACCTGTGGGCCACATGTCTTGCCTGTGGTCGCTTCAAATCCTCTGCTCCTTTTACACAAACACACTGTTTCCCAACTCATGCAGACACACCATACACATCGCTCACCTTCAAATGTCACACACGCTCTGACGTTTTCAGTCTTTGTGGGGGGGCTGGGTTCTGATTTTGTGGTTTGGGGTCATCTGTCAGGTTAAAGTCGAAGCACGGTTCCCTTCCCAGAAGTTGGCGGTTTGTTTCTATGCCAGGATTTGGTATCTTTGAAGGTGCTTCTGTAAAATGACTGAAACTCGATGTCATCAGAAGTGAATTATAACCACACATCAGTTGTTTTGTTTTAATTTAATGTTGAAAACACTGATTGTGTTTGTAAAAGGGGTTAACATCTGAACTTGCTTCAGAAAGTTTATACTTTGGTGTCTGAAAGGAGCAAAGGAAGTATAAAGTGGTAAATGTTATTTTCTCTGTTCATTGGATATTTAATGGCAGAGAGTCACCTGCACAATCATTAAACAAACATTTTGTAGGGGTTGGAGTCAGGGAACTGTGAGCAGCAGCCGCTCAACATTTACACGTTTAAAACCCTGAAACTGCACAGTCGGTGGGTTTTGACAGAAGCAGTTGAGCACATTTCTTTCAATTACCTTCTTGTGAGCTGTGTAATATGATTTATGATCCCTGCACTTTGCTGTCCTCAGCTTTGAGGTCAACCGCCTTTTCAACCGCACACACTAACATAAACACCAGTAAATGGTAAAGAAAAGCTGTTCCCAGTTTTGGTTCCGTGTCACAGCAGCGAGTCTTTGGGGTGTGTGACAAGTTTGAGTTGGCAGGTTGGGCAGCTTGAGCCAAGTCCAGGTGGCCTTGTGGGAAAGGGAAAACTGGGTTGTATTTTATGACTTTGAACTTCAGAGAAAATGTGGGGGGGAAAACTGTTTGTTTGGCTCTCCTCTGGCATCCAGCTCTGTTTAGGGCTCATGAGACCACGATTGCTTTAAAATGACTGCTGTGTCAGTGAATTGGTGGAAAAATGATCGTGTGTTTTTGTCTGCCCGGCTGTTTGTCGGAGTCTCAACATGCCAATGTGTGATCCCAGATGCCTTGTCAACTCTTCCCTGAATGTGTTTGTGTTGCATAATGTGCTGACAGGCCATTTCTTTCTTTATGTTTGTTTAGTCTTTGTGACTGCTGTCAGYGTGTTAATGGTCTGTCGGTGTAAAAATTGTTTATGTTCAACGCGTTTTAATTGGTTTTTTAAAATCTTGAGCTTCCATGTGTTCTGTAAAATGTCCTGYAGCCTCAAAGCTGAATTAATTAAACAGATATAACTCAGATTTTATTTCTGGTGAGTGAGTGTATTTTAGTTGTATGACTTAGTTGGTCAGACTCAAAAGCCTGAATTTTGCCTGAAACTCTCAGACTGAAGAAGTCTCTTGGAGGAGAGACGAAACGTTTCATTAAAGAAGAACTCGTCCAGAAGACCTATACAATTTTTTTCTTTTGATTTTTTACCTGGATTACTGAGATGCATCAGGACATAGTTGGTCAGACAGTAATTGCTGCTAATAATAATAATGTCTGTCTCCAAGTAAATATGTAGTAATTGGTTTAGTGCTTGTGCTTGTATACCAGTAGGCCTACAGCAGTGGCCTAAATAAAAACCAGAACCACTAAAGAAAGTTCAGCTTGTCTGCTTGTCTCTCATCTTATTGACTCGCCATGATAATGACTCACAGTGGAGTGATGTAAAATACCACCATCATTTACTTTAAACTGTTTGTAAACTTTACAAAAAACACACCAAGTTAGTTAGTTTATTTCAAACATGTATACAAAACAAAAAAGGATAAAAAGTGATAACAAATTTACAAAATTAACAAATTTTTAACTAATTTAACTAAGTAATTTAACTAATTTAACTAATTAACTGATTTAATTAACACCAAAGCTCAAGTTGGMTTATATATTAAGAGTAACAGTGCATAAACTTCAAAGCACCACAATTACTGTTTATCCATTATTCCTCCATTTCTGTTATGTTTGATTATGTCATGGTGTAAAGAAAATTTTTTTAAAGATTTCCCCATAGACAACAAGAGCATTTTGAGCTCTAAAGCTCTCAGATATTTCACAGCATAAACATCATTCACAGGTTAAATGAGTCACAGAAAGCTGGACTAAACGTGAATGAACTGCGTGTTTTATATCCCCTTTAGTTTCTGAACATTATTCAAAGAGTTTACAACAGATTGTTCAACTTAGTGTGATGTTGTCTCACTGTAACTTTTAAACTGTCTGAAGTTTACAGAACATTTTGCAAATAAGATTTTATTTCCACAATCTTTACACTTTTTATTCAGTTTGTACATCCAAACATTTTGTCTTCTCCCACCCAGTGCCTCGTTGACTCAAATCTTCCCAAAGTGCTCACACAAACTCCCACCGACTTCCGCTGGTTTTTCTTCAAACAACAAAGAAGTGACGTGGCTTTATAACTTGTCATGTCTCCTACAGAAAGCATTTGAGACAAAATAAAAGTGGTGTTTGTCATGACTGAACTGACCAGAACCTGCGGTCACTATGGGAATGAGTTTCTAATTCATAGTGAACGCTGCAGATTAGGGCTGCATGATATTAAAAAAAGTGTTTTTTTCTTACCCTGAGATATGAAACAATACAGGAATTTTCAACAGATGACTTGAATAACACAGTAAGTTCTGCTGCAATCTTGTTGATCATTAACCTGCACTGATCTTACCTCTTTTGTGTGTGTTGCAAGCATGTTTTTAGACCAGAGGTTCTCAAACTGGGGTCCCTGGACCCCCAGGGGTCCGTGAGAGGTATCTTGGGGGTCCTCAAAAATTTTTGCTAAAATGTTAATTTGGTTTTTATTTTTAAAAATGCATGGATAACATTGAACTAATAAAACAAACAAAATAAACGTAATAAAAATATATATTCCCATGGCATTTAGGGGTTGAAATGACAATAAATTATCTTTTAAAACAGCACGGGGTTTATGAGGGGGTCCCTGGAATTTTTTTCGCCCTTGGAAGGGGTCCCCAGACCCAAATGGCTTGAAAACCCCTGTTTTAGACTGTATTGACTGAGGGTGGAGGGGCTCAGCAGCCCCCGCTGGACAGAAGAAGTCAGAAAGAGTGACAGAAGTCCGTCTCCAAACACAAGCAGCTACAAAACAACCAACAGAAATAGAAGCTCTTTTTATCGCTAGTCGTTTTTAACAAAGAAAATGCTGCTAAAAGGATTAATAAAGTCTCTGGTTTGACTCAGAACAGAAACAAAACTAAAAAAAGCTCCCAGGGATGTTTAAACCAAAAGATCGCTGATTCGCTCATTTCGCTGTCAATCAAAAAGGGATTCAGCCTCCGACAGATCATCCAATCATCATGCAGAAGCTGAGCGTCCGAGCCAGCCGAGGCCAGCCCACTTCCCCATAGAACCCCAGAGATGCTCAGCGTCCGATGGGTGGGACAAAGCCAGCATTTATCCAATGACTCATCTCGTTTTGCTGCAGTCTTTGCATCGCAAATGAGCTCTGTAGACGCTCAGCGTCCGACTGTTTAAAGCACCGTGAAGCTGCGGGAATGAGGGAGAGGAAAGCTGCGTCGTTACCAGTGATAAGAAGCTGATTCTGAACAAAAGTTGAGCGCGTTGTAGCGCATATTTAGTCAATGACATGTACTCACAACATTATGTATTTGATCTTTGTTTATTTATTTATTTATTTATTTATTTATTACATTTTAGGGGAAGCTGAGCTTCCCTTACAGTCTTAGAGTTGCCTCTGCTTCATTGTTCTGCTTCAGTTTGTCTTCAGAAATGTTCTGGTTTTTTCTTCACATCTGAATGTTTCTGTCTTGCAGTCAAAGTGTATCCAGCATGCGTGCTCAGATGGTTTCTTCCCCTCACAGGTCGGTTCTGGAGCCTCTCACCCAGTGGGACAGTCCAATGCAGGTGAAACTGTCCCGCTGGAAGTCCGGTCTGAACACTCTGCTGGTGGAGCTCCTGCCCTGGGCTCTCCTGACCAACAACTCTCAGTGGGACCTCTGGCTTTTTGAAGGAGAGAAGATTGTTCTGCAGATACCAGCTGGAAAAGTCATTGTTCCACCCAACTTCAAGGTCAGGCGTCACACTCTGCACTCTGTCAGAGAGCTGCTTAAAACTAAAGAAACATTATCAGGGCTGGGCTGAGGCCGACGTGTTTCCAGTTTTATTTCCAAACATGTCTAAGACGAATAGTTTTGTCTTCAAACTCAGTGGTTCCAAAACTGTTCAGCTTTTGACCCAAAAAATAAGAGTTAATGTGTCCTGTTTTACTGAACAGATTTTATTAACCTTATTAAACAAGCTCATAATGACAAAACAACAAAATKTACTCATTATGACTGCTGTATTTATTAACAGTTAAGGTGAAATCTGTGTGGCGCCAAGTGTAAAATATTTGAGCTCACTTTCTGAGTGAGTTTTAAAATGTCATTTTAAAATTTTAACTTTATTGAGCTCACTGCTCATTTTACTAATTGTTATTAAATGTTATATTTAAATCTTGAATAATATTTAAATACTAAATCTAAATAAGTAAACCTAATGTAAAAGTTAAATCTTAAATGTTGAATTTAACATTTAATTTTTTCAGAATGAAACGCAGCCCTTGCTGTTGGTGCTCGGCTCTTATGATGTCATCATCCTGCGACAATAGCAACCGCTAACTCTGCTAACGTTGCACTTAGCACCGAATAGAAATCATGCTTTTGGCAAAAATCTACATCAAATGGGATTTTTGAAGATTATTTAAGGATCCTGCTTTTGGTTTTATCACTCACAGCAGGGATCTGAACTTTAGGAACCACTACTCTCAG